GAGGGGTATAACTTGTTCAAAAGGAATAGACCAAAGAGGCAGGGAACATCATTTGTAAAGGATATGTACACTTGTGAAGAAATCCATGCCCTGGAGCATGGAAAGCAGATTGAGAGTTTATAGGGTAAAAATTGTAGGCAAGAGAAATAACAGTGACCTTACTGTGGCTGCCTGCTATAGATTGCCAAGCCAGACTGAAAATTTGGATGATTCCTTATTAGAGCAGATTACCAAACATTCAAAAAGGAGAGATATAGTAGTCATGGGGGACTTCAACTTCCCTGATATGTGTTGGCACTCAAACTCTGCCAAGAATACAGTATAAGGGCCGACAATTTTCTCCATTGCCTCACTGACAATTTCAATTCCAGGAGATGGAAGAAGCAACAAGGGGTTTGTCTATCTTGGAGCTGGTCCTCACCAATAGGGAGGAACTGATCGACAAAGTGGAAGTACTGAGAAACTTGAGAGGAAGTGATCATGTTCTCCTTAGTTTCATGATAGGCAATGGGAAACTGTGTGTAGTTGGACATGCACTCTGGACTTTAAGAAGACCAATTTCAAACAGCTTAAGGAGCTACTTGGTGTGATCCATGGTTAGAAATACTCAAAGAGAAAGGAGTCCAAGAAGGATGGGAGTTTATAAAAGGAGAAATATTGAAGGCCCAAATGCAGACAATTCCAACAGTATGGGTCTCTCAAAAATGTCATGCCAGACAAATTTGATTTTTATTTTATTTTATGGAATTACCAACTTGGTGGATCAGGGAAATGCTGTGGACATAGTGTATCATGATTTCAGTAAGGCCTTTGACAAAGTTCCCCAAGATATTCTCATGAGGAAGCTGGTAAAATGTGGGTGGAACAAGGTAACTATTAGGATTTGTAGCTGGTTGACTGACTAAACCCAAAGAATACTCATTAAAGTTTCCTTGTCCTCCTGGGAAAAAGTGACAAGTGGGGTGCTGCAGGATTCTGTCCTGGGCCCACTGTTGTTCAACATCTTTATGGGCAACTTTAATGAATTGAGGGGATACTCATCAAATCTGCATATGACACAAAACTGGGAGGTGTAGCTAATGCCAAAGGGGACAGAATCAAAATTCAAAATGACCTTAACAGATTGGAGAACTTGGTGCAAGCTAATGAAATGGATTTCAATAGTGACAAATGTAGGCAGGGAGAACCAGATTCACAAATATAGAATGGAGGACACATGGCTTGCTAGCAGGACATGTGAAAAGGAAAAAAGCTTAACATGAATCAACAGTGTGTTGAAACTAGCAAAGAAAAAAGCTAATACTATTCTAGACTGCATCACAGAAGTACAGTCTTCAGATCAAGGGAAGTAATAGTACCACTGTATTCTGCTGTCAGGAATGAGCCAGCTCCAAGTGCAACTTTGCATCCAGATGCTGAATGCAGTCAGGAACAGAAAAGTTTGGAGTCGACGCCGGCTGAGCAGAGCACACAGCTGCCAACATCAACTCTCCCTGACCTTGGATGGCTGGTTGCCAAGGGAACAACTGAGAGTGGGCTGGAACACAGCCAAAGCTCTCAGGAAGCTCAAAAAGGCGCAAACAGTCACAGACAATTTTTTACAGAACAGGAAGAGGCTGTAGCTGACACAATAAGTCTGAGGCGGCGGCGAATAGGGGGGATGCTAGGCAGGAAGCAAAATAAGAGACGTAAGGGTCAAAAGTTCAATATCTTCTGTCGACACTGGAAGGTGTCTTAAGAATGGTCATCTTGGAGCTATCTGTTTCTTTTTGCAATAAATCCTCCATTTTCATTACCCATATTTACTGTGTTATCAAGCTGGGAACCTGCACTCCTATCATCTGTCTTGGTCAGACCATACCTGGAATACTGTGCCTGAGTGCCACAAGGATGTTGACAAGCCTGAATGTGTGCAGAAGAGGGCAACTAGGATGATCAAGGGTCTAGAAGCCGAACCTTATGAGGAATTGTTGGAGGATCTAGGTATGTTTAGCCTGGAAATGAGGTCACAGAGGAGATATGATAGCCATCTTCAAATATCTAAAGGGTTGTCACATGGAAGATGGAGCATGCTTGTTTTTACCTGCACTGGAAGGTAGGATTTGAACCAATGTGAGACAGTAGAACAATCTTCCTCGGAAGGTTGTGGACTCTCTTTCCTTGGAGGTTGTTAAACAGAGGTTGGATGGCTGTCTGTCATGGATGCTTTAGCTGAGATTCCTTCTTTGCAGGGGTTGGACTAGATGACCCTTGGGTCCCTTCCAAGATTCTATGATTCTAAATCAAGGGCAGGAAGAAACAATGCAGATGATTCCCTCTCAATCTAACATGGTGCTGAGACTCCACTGCCTTTCTTTTTACTTCCTGGTGGTTTATTGATGAGAGAAGTGCTTTTTTTTTTTTTGGCACCATGGTCACAATCAGGTTAACAAACTCGGGGTGGGGGCATCTTCTTGAATTTATTTTCTAGTTTTTACGCTAGTTTTTACACTCCCAGCGTGGGAGATGAGATGTGAGGTAGATATCCACTCTTGAGTATGTTGGGACAAGAAGACAGTTTATAGTTATTGTTATTCTAATCTCGGAATATTTGGTGCTTGGTTTTCTTCAACCATTTGATGCTGTTAATATCATTTTTATATTATGTCTAAACTAAAAGTGTCTAAACTTGGATTGTAAATGAACTAGGCAACTCTATTAAATGAGAAAGTTATTTTGGTTCATAGTAAATATTATCCTGATATTCCCCTTATTCAGGAGACACACCAAAGGAAAGCTAAGGACCCAGATTTGAATGCCAAACCACTTCAGATAAAGGGTGTGTGTGCTGGTATAATTATTAGTGTACAGCCAAAGAGCAATGCTTCAAAATTTAGCTCTCAGATAAGACAGGTTTTCTTTGTCAGGATCCCCTAAGACAGCGCATTGTTGTTAAAGAGACAATACTGCACATGGAACTCACTTTTGGCTCAGTCTACAGTCCTAGCAAAGGACAAGGCAGCTTTCTGAAATGTTTACTTTCATCTCTTACATCATTTCTTATAGGTAAGCTAGTAGTAAATCTTATGTTCTCAAATCAACTAGGTAGGTCTAGGGCAAGAAAAAGGGGCAAGAAAAAGGTACATTATGGTACGCTGGTTTGACAGCCACGGACAGGAAGTCCCTACAGAGGGTCGTGAATACAGCACATGATATCATGGGCTGCCCCAGAGTTCACTAGATGACATCACAGGAGACCGCTGCCTCAGGAGAGCGAGGAAAATTCTTAGGGATGACTCACCCTGGCCAGCACCTCTTTAATCTCCTACCTTCAGGCAGGAGATACAGAAGTATAGTCAGCCGCACCAACAGGTTAAAAAACAGTTTTTATCCATGGGCTGTTGGGCTGCTGAATGGAAAAAAAATAGTGGTGCAATTGACTTCCGACAAGCACACAGAGCGCGAACCAGACTAAGTGTATGGGGGGGGGGTCGTTTAATTTAACTGCACACAGGTGGTGTAGTGACAATAAAGGTTTATTTTTATTTATTTTATTTATTATGAAACTCTAAACTTTGACTCTCTTTTACCTAAGTCTAAACTTATAGACTCTTGGAGGACCCAGCATAGGGGAGAAAAATATTTCACTTTTTCTTCAGGGAGCCGCCTATCATATTTCCAAATTGATCATATCCTAATCCCAGAGGAGTAGACTAATAAACTCCTCCACTCCAAGAAGGCTTAAGACTGTTGTCGGTCCATGCTCCCTTCATTACCATTATCAGCTTAGATTCAACACCTTCTCCTACCCCCTGCTGGAGCCTTAAGTGTTTTACTGACCAAATACATTGGTCATGGAGAAAGTACAGATTTCTTAGATATTAAAGATATGGGAGAGCACTTCCCAGCATTAGTATGGGATACTCTGAAGGCAGTGGTGAGAGGATATTTTATAAGTGAAAGATCTAGATTAAAGAAATAAATAAAAATTCATTCCTCACTTCTTGCAGACATAAAAGAATTTAGATTAAATATAAGATTACAGGAAGCCCAAAGTCCTAGGGTGTGCAGAAAATTACTATGTAAATGAGCTGAATTTAAAATGCTAGCAATCCCTAAAGTAGCTGGCTCACTTCAGTATTGGGCCCAAAAGTTTGTGAATTTGGCAACAAAAATTATAAGATATTTGCAAACTTACTCAGGGGAAAAATGGAAACAAGTACTTTCCTGACAATTAAACAAAGGTTTTAAAAAATTGATCCTAATCAGATTTAACATCAATTCCAACACCCCCCAAAAAAACTATACTGCTGAAACAATTTACAAAGATGCCATTCAAAAATACTGAGATAGATTACTAGTGCCCCAGCCTTTAGTGAGGTGTCAGAGGGTAGAGAAGCAGTGGCTCTGATGGGATCAGTGATGAACCATTAAAACAATAGGTGGCAAAATGTGGGCAATGGTTCCAGATCTCAGGGCTGTGACAGACATCTCATTGGAGCTAGGAGGAGGTGCCACAGATGTCTATGCAGATTTGGTTGTTACCACTGGCTGAATCAGGAATATGAGTGAGGAGACCCTTTGTATCTGCTTTGATGGATTTTTATCACTTCCAAATTCACTTCCTCATCTGAGTAGTCAAAGCTGATGCTTGATCTGATTGAGGTGCTGTTATGTACTGAGTTGAATAGGATCCAAAAAGCAGCAGTCTGATTGGTCCTAGAACAATAGGATTCAGAATGCAGCAGTCTGATTGGTCCTATAACAATAGGGTCCAGAATGCAGCAGTCTGATTGGTCCTAGAACAACGCAGCAGTATGATTGGTCCGCATGAGCCACCCAATCCAGCTCCATGTGGAAGTGAATCTGCAACCTGATTGGCTTACAGGAGAATCCCAGAATTAGCCAATCATGTGCGACCCATTGTGTAAATAATGTATATAAAGCAGATATTTTGCGGGAACTCTCATTCCTCACTACTATGAGCTGAATAAAGAGCATGAAATCCACACTCGACTCCAAGAATATTTCAGGTGCTATATTCTTCCACTGCAGATAGCCACTTGCCAGGCAGCAGGGTGCTGTGGTTGAAGCTGCCAGGACTGAGTGCCGGTTCTCATTGAAAAGACTGATATGCAGATCAGTGACCAGATAGTCATATAGAAACTGCAGCTTGTACTCCTACTTGTCCACCTGATGCCTTTTCTTCATCTCTACCTCCACTTGGTTGCGGGCATGTTTCAACTTCACTTCCAGGACTGAATGCTCAGACACTGACTGGCGCAGCTTCTCCCTTGTTCCCTGCATGTCATGGTCTAGCCAGCAGCATCACTGGTGCATCCCCTCAAGTCACTGGGCAATCTAGAGGCAGTCCAGTTAAATGCTGCTGTTGAACTCTATGAGCCTGAAGAGCCGGTCCAGGCAGCACATCAGCTGTGGGCACAGGCAATTCACCCTGATGTTATTGGGGCATACAGACTCAAGTAAAGTGAATTTGGAAACACTGTTCACTGAACGGATTTAAGTATATCACTTAATCACTTCCTTAGATAACAATTCATACTGCTGCCATTCACACAAAGCATCCTCCACCATCTAAGCTAGAAGAAATAGTAACAACGAAAACAACAACAATAAAACAACTATTAAAAACCTGAAACTATCCAAGTCTCCCAGCTTGAACAGAATTATGGGAGCTTTCTATAAAGCATTCCAAACTCCAATTTGTACCTCTTCTTTCTAAGTTGTTCACAAGTATCTTTTTCTAGAGGGGAAGTCCCTAGCACATGGAAACCAACAAATATTATAGTACTTCCTAAGCCATTAAAAAAGCCAGCATGAGTTTAACCAAACTGCGGGAGGCAGTGGAAGACAGGAGTGCCTGGCGTGCTCTGGTCCATGGGGTCACGAAGAGTCGGACACGACTAAACAATTAACAACAACAACAAGCCATTAAAAAACCTGTAACTAACTGTCAGGGAACTGCCATCGGAAGGAAGGGAGGTGAAAGGGCTCACACAGGTTGGGAGAGACTCAGCAGCTGAAGAGGGAACCAGTAGGGGGAGAGGAGCTGAGTTGAGGGAAAGTGAGCTGGAGGGATGGCTCAGAGACACTTCCAGCGAAAACAGTGGGGAGGTTTCAGGACCTCCTGTAGGAACACCCACTCCTCGCCGGAAACTGTCACGCAGAGAGTCCAGAAGACGTGTTTCCGTTAAGGAGCTTTTATGTTGGAAGCGATTCCGAAAGCAACCACTGTCGGAATCTGCTAGTGACTAGAGGAGCCATGTCTGAGGGGCTCCGTCACAGACAGAGGTTTGTGGACTTGAACAAACTCTGAGGGGATACTATTTTACGCACAAGCAGCTCATCATCCCATCACAGCATTCCGACAGTCTTTGAAAGCAGCTTGTGCAGGAGAAGGCATCATGAGCAACCCAGCCGGAACCGGAGAAGCAGGAGCTGGAGCGGGTCCAAGCCTGGAAGAAAGGTACCGGGTGTTGGAGGTCCAGCTAGCGCTGCAGACGGCGAGGCTTGAGGAGAGGAGGGCTCAGGATGCAGACAAAAGGGAAAGCCACCCAGCTCGCCAGAAAGGTACCAGGATTGGTGCAGAAGTTTGGGGGGGAGCCCAAAGACTATCATGGCTTTCGGACAGAGATGCAATATGCCCTCAATCTGCAGTTTGATGAATTCCCTGACGAGGAATCACGAGTGGCTTTCGTGATTGGGCATCTTGAAAAGGGGCGAGAGACTGGGTTAGACCCCTGATGGCAGCGAATAGTGACGTCCTAAAGGACACGATGAAGTTCTTTCGCGCCATGGATCTGATGTTTTCGAGCGATATTGAACAGGAGTGGTGCGCAGACAGTTAATGGCTTGCAAACAGGGGAGCCGATCTGTCCGTGAGTACTGGACTGAGTTCACCATGCTGGTTCACAGATTGGGGTGGGACTTATCGGCGGAACCCATTCAAATGCTCTTTGAAGAAGGGCTTTCTTCGGCTGTGAAAGACGAACTTTCCCGGGCGCCCAGGGCGGAGTCTATGGACCAGCTGACCAAATCAGCGCTGACCATAGGAGCGCGCCAGGAGGCGAGAGCATTGGAGAGGCGGGAAGGGAAGGGGAACGTTGGAAGGAGTTCCGCATTCCAGACATTCCAGAGCCAACTTTCCCGCCGGCAGAGCCGATGGAAATCGGAACAGCGCGCGCCGCGCAGTTTCAAAGCCCAGTGAGGGGGAAAGAAGGAGGGAAACGCGCCCGGAAATGCTATCTCTGCCAACAGCCAGGTCACTTTGCCAGAGTCTGCCCCCAGAGGAAGGAATGGCAAGGGATGGTAGGAGCTGTGGAGGGAAGAGAGGAAGAAATACCGGAGCAAGTAAAGCCAACGCCTGGCTGCCACCGTCGGGCACAGCAGCCAGGCCAAAGAGCAGTGAGAGTGCCCATGCCAGAACCTCCTAAACCCGCCCTAGTGATAGAAGTGGCGCTAGAGCTGCCAAACGGACACCCTCTAAAGATAAAGGCGCTGTTGGACTCAGGCAGCTCCTGCAATTTCATGAGCAAAGAGTTTGCAGCTGAACACCAGATACAGACGATCCTTTAAGCAACCCCTGCAGGTGACCACGATCGATGGCAGGGAGCTGTTGGGAGGAGAAGTCAGCTTGCAGACCGTCCCAATGATAATGAAGGTGGCAAGGCACACCGAACTGATAGCGTTTAATGTGGCCACCTTGGGAGGAGCTCCCATTATATTGGGGATGAGCTGGCTAGCGTTACATGATCCGCTGGTGGGCTGGCATCAGAGAGTGGTTTCTTTTGGTTCAGCACATTGCTTAGAACACTGCAAAGAGGGAAAGGGTTTGGCAGGGGCCCAAGCCACCCTAGCAGGGACTGAAGTAACGGAGAACGTGAAGGTACCACGACAATACGCAGATCTCCGCGACGTCTTCAGCGAAAGGGAAGCTGACCAACTACCCCGCATAGACCCTTTGACTGTCAAATCAATTTACTCCCTGGGGCACAGCTCCCTGTAGGCAAGCTGTACGCCATGTCAGACAGAGAGATGCAGGAGCTAAGAGAGTTCATTGACAAGAACCTGAAGAGAGGGTTCATCAGAGAGTCCAGGGCGGTGGGGGCAGCCCAGTGTTTTTGTGGATAAAAAAACACGAACAAGCCGAGGCTGGTGTGTGACTTCAGGGCCTTAAATGCAGTGTCAGAACCAGTGGCCTTCCCTATGCCCAGGATTGACGACATTTTGACAAGGGTGCGGAAGGGAAGATTTTCACAAAGCTGGACCTAAGGGGGGCGTACAACCTGATACGAATAAGGAAGGGGGATGAATGGAAAACCACCATGTTCACCCCTTTAGGGGCATTTGAATATTTGGTTATGCCCTTCGGCCTACAAGCAGGCTCCGCATGCTTTCAATCGTTTATGAACCACGTCCTGGGGCCTTTGCTTTACAAGAATTGTGTGGCCTTCTTAGACGACGTGTTGGTGTATTCTGAGAATGAGGAGCAGCATGTGAGAGACGTCAGAGAAGTGTTGAGCAGGCTGCAAGCCAACCAGCTGTGGGTGAAACTGGAGAAGTGTCAGTTTCATACCAAGGAGGTGGAATTCCTGGGGTATCGCCTGTCAGACAAGGGATTGGCCATGGATCCCGGCAAGGTCCAGGCGGTGCTGGAATGGAAAACACCCAAAACAAGGAAGGATGTGCAGAGGTTCCTAGGATTTGGGAACTTCTATCGTAAGTTCATCCGAAACTTTGCCCACCTGACGGCGCCCATTACGGACTGTCTCAGCAGTAAGAAGAAGTTCGTTTGGACTGAGGAGGCGGAGCGAGCATTTGAGGAACTAAAAGGGCCTTCGCCTCGGAACAACAACTCCGGCCTGTGGATTTACAACAACCGGTGAGAGGGGACACTGACGCATCAGACAGAGCGCTGGGGGCGGTGCTTCGGCAGCCAGGGAAGGAGGAGTCAGAGTGGAGACCGTGTGCTTTTTTTTCTCGAAAGCTGAACAAATCCGAGAGGAACTACACGGTGTATGACCGAGAACTACTAGCCATTCATGAGGCGTTCCGGAGATGGAGGCACCTGCTAATTGGCGCACAACATAAGGTGCAAGTGTGCACTGACCACAAGAACCTAGAGTATTGGAGGACGGCACGAGTGCTCAACCAACGGCAAGTGAGATGGGCCCAGGAGTTCTCCAAATTTAACTTTGAGATTGGTTACGTGCCAGGCCCAGAGAACATTAGGGCGGACGCTCTCTCACGCAAACCTGACTATTTGGAGGGAGGGAGCACCCGAAGAGAGACATGTCATTCCAGAGGACCGCTGGGTGTGTGGGGCGGCATTGGTGGGACAAAGAGAACTGGTAGAGGAAACAGAGAATGATGAATACGCCCAGAATAAGCTCAGAGGTCTTAGGGGTGAGGGAGAGGAACCAGGGGTTTCGAGGAAAGAAATGGAGCTTTGTATTACAAAGGGGCACTGTATATCCCTGAAGGAGACTTAAGGGGAGGGTACTCAAGCAGTTGCACGACAGCCCTACGGCGGGGCATTTTGGACAACACAAAACCATGTGGTTGGTCACCAGGGAATTTTGGTGGCCTAAGGTGAGGGAAGATGTACGTGAGTATGTAAGAGGGTGCGAGCAATGCCAGCGAGCCAAAGGGGAAAGGCGGGCGCCGGCGGGGCTGTTAGAACCCTTACCAACCCCAGAACGACCTTGGGAGGCAGTGTCGATAGATTTTATGACTGATCTGCCGAAGTCCAAAGGGAAAACAGCCATCATGGTGGTGGTAGACCTACTAACAAAGATGTGCCACTTTGTAGCTTGCTCGCATGCAGTCACGGCGGAAGAGACAGCGAAGTTATTTGTAGAACACATTTTTAGGTTGCACGGGGTGCCATTGAGGGTGGTCTCAGACCGAGGAAAACAATTTACTTCCAGGTTCTGGAGGAAGCTCATGAGCTTACTGCAGGTGGAGGTCAATTTTTCGACTGCCCGGCACCCTGAAACCAACGGGCAGGCGGAAAGAGCAAACGGTGTCCTCCAGCAATACCTGAGGTGTTATGTCAATGACAGAGAGAATGACTGGGTAGAAAAGTTGGCGCTGGCGGAATTTGCCTACAACAATGCCGAGAATGTGTCCACAGGGATGAGCCCCTTCTTGGCTAATTATGGGTGTCATCCCAGGGCTTTCCCAGGGGAGATGGGGAGAGATGGAGCGTCCCGGCAGCCGAGCATTTTGCGGAAGAAATGGAAGCAATCCATCGTCAGCTCCAACTCAACTTAGAAAGGGCGAAGGAAGAATACAAGAGGCAGGCAGACAAGAACCGAAGGGAAGGTGAAACCATAAGGGTGGGAGATAGGGTGTGGCTGTCAACCCAAGGGTTGCCGTTCAAAGGAGGTTGTAAGAAATTAAGACCCAGGAGGTTGGGTCCCTTTGAGGTCATTCAACAGGTCAACCCAGTGGCTTTCAGGCTCCGGTTACCCAACCACATGAAACTGCACCCAGTATTTCACAGGTCGTTACTGTCACCGTACGAAGGGGGACGAGAAGGGATGGCCACTCGGGGACCGGTCATAGAAGAAAGAGAATGCAGCAGCCATGTGGCAGAAATCCTCGACGCCAGGTGGAAGGGGGATCAGGTGGAGTATTTGGTAGCGTGGGAAGGAGAACCGGGTCAGAAAACACTTGGGTAATGGCCGAAGATATCAATGACGAGGTATTGATAGAAACGTTCCATCAAAGGTTCCCAAGGAAACCTCAGCCTGTGGAGAGGTTCCGGAGGGAATACTTTGGGACCACTGATGAGGAGGAGGAGTTGGAAGGATTCCCGGACTCAGAAGGGGAAGGGGAGTTGGACTCGGTGGAGGTGTAGTTCTTCGAGACCAGGAACCTCATCTGGTGTAGATAAGTGTTATAGACATCGGAAGAGGAAGTATGTTCAGTCCGGGGTTTTGCCTCCTCACCGCCCGTAGAGGAAGGGGCGAGAGGGGGTGAAAGGGGCCCTGGAGGGGAGGTGGATGTCAGGGAACTGCCATCGGAAGGAAGGGAGGTGAAAGGGCTCACACAGGTTGGGAGAGACTCAGCAGCTGAAGAGGGAACCAGTAGGGGGAGAGGAGCTGAGTTGAGGGAAAGTGAGCTGGAGGGATGGCTCAGAGACACTTCCAGCGAAAACAGTGGGGAGGTTTCAGGACCTCCTGTAGGAACACCCACTCCTCGCCGGAAACTGTCACGCAGAGAGTCCAGAAGACGTGTTTCCGTTAAGGAGCTTTTATGTTGGAAGCGATTCCGAAGCAACCACTGTCGGAATCTGCTAGTGACTAGAGGAGCCATGTCTGAGGGGCTCCGTCACAGACAGAGGTTTGTGGACTTGAACAAACTCTGAGGGGATACTATTTTACGCACAAGCAGCTCATCATCCCATCACACTAACCAACTCTTACTGACCCATTTTATTGATAAATGTGGATGCAAAAAATCCTGATAAAACATGAATTGAACCAAATTACATTAATAAAGACCATATATTATATATTCACCATAGATATGTATATCATTATTCCCATCAGGCACATACTAAATATTATTCATGGCCTATGCCCAACCAAATTCTACTGAAATATTCAAAGTAGACATCACTAAAGCTTTTGATTGATTTAACCAGCCTTTTTTGTTTGCTGCATTGACCAGATTCAGGATATGATTCCCCCTTTGTCAATTTGATAAAAAGACTGCATGATTCTACCCATGCAAACATACAGGTAAATTGAAGATACTTTGGGGGTTTTCCTCATCTGCCAGGGCACAAAGCAAGATTACCCTCCATCCCTTCTGCTTTTTGTTGTAGTCATGGAATCAATGGCCCTAGCACTCCAACAGAATCCATCCATTTTGGAAATAACAGTTCGTGGTGAACGATATACCGTATTTTTCGCCCTATAGGACGCAATTTTTCCCCTCCAAAAATGAAGGGGAAATCTGGGTGCGTCCTATGGGGCAAATGCAGGCTTTCGCTGAAGCTTGGAGAGCGAAAGGGGTCAGTGCGCACCGACCCCTCTCGCTCTCCAGGCTTCAGGAACACATCCGCAGCCTAGGCAGCCCTGCAGGAGTTCCTGTGGGATAGCAGCCTGCTTCCTGGAGCGTCGGGTGCGCTGAAAGCAGAGCACCTGGCGCTTCGGGAGCACATCTGCAGCCTAGGCAGCCCTGCGGATAGCAGCCTGCTTCCCAGAGCGCTGGGCGCGCTGAAAGCAGAGCACCCGGCGCTTCGGGAGCACACCTGCAGCCTAGGCAGCCCTGCGGACAGCAGCCTGCTTCCCAGAGCGCTGGGCGCGCTGAAAGCAGAGCACCCGGCGCTTCGGGAGCACACCTGCAGCCTAGGCAGCCCTGCGGACAGCAGCCTGCTTCCCAGAGCGCTGGGCGCGCTGAAAGCAGAGCGCCCGGCGCTTCGGGAACACATCCGCAGCCAAGGCAGCCCCGCGGGAGTTCCCGCAGGGCTCCCTACGCTGCGGATAGCAGCCTGCCGCCCGGCGCGAAGGACACCCTGAAGCAGAGCGCCCGGTGCTTCGGGAGCACATCTGCAGCCTAGGTAGCCCTGTGGGAGTTCCCGCAGGGCTGTCTAGGCTGCAGATAGCAGCCTGCTTCCCAGAGCGCCGGGCGCGCTGAAAGCAGAGCGCCCGGCACTTCGGGAACACATCCGCAGCCTAGGCAGCCCCGCAGGAGTTCCCGCAGGGCTCACTACGCTGCAGGTAGCAGCCTGCCGCCCGGTACGAGTGGCACCCTGAAGCAGAGCGCCCCGCCCGCTGGGCAGACATCCTCAGCGTGGGGAGCCCTGCGGGAGTTCCCGCAGGGCTCCCTACGCTGCGGATAGCAACCTGCCGCCCGGCGCGAGGGGTGCCTTGAAGCAGAGCGCCCCTCACGCCGGGCAGACATCTGCCAGCCCCACAAGCTCGGGGGACAGCAAGGAGGCGCAGCACCGCCATCCTGCTGTTCCTTGACCTGGTTCGGTTTCCCCGACCTGGTTTTGGGGGGGAAATAAAGGGGGGGAAATTTCCTTTATTTCCCCCCCAAAAAACTAGGTGTGTCCTATGGGACGGAGCGTCCTATGGGACGAAAAATACGGTATATTGAACTTCTTTGCAGATGACAATACAATGATAACACCATATCCTCAAATTTTAATTCTGGCCATCATGCAAGAATAATCCCAATTTAACTCGGTATCTGGATTTAAAGTGAATTATGGAAAATCAGAATAGTTTTGCATTCAAACGCCTCCAGAATTAATACATGGTCTTCAGAAATTCTCAGTTCTTAAACTGTGTAATATGCACATTCATTATTTAAGTGTGTGTGTGTGTGTGTGTGTGTGTGTGTGTATACATACACACACAAATGTCAAAGCTGGAATAAATTATAAACCAATAATCACAGACTTCAAAACTAACATGAGAATTTGGAAAAACCTATATATGACTTGATGGGGTCATATTTCAACAGTTAAAATGTTACTTCAGAAAATTTTGCTTCTTTTCAAACTATTCCTATCCAGACTAGACCATTATTAGGTGACAAAAGCTTATTATATAATTTATTCATCAAGATAATTGATCACAACTACACGATATTGTATTATTTACCCCTACTGACAGAGGGATATCCCAGCTTAAATGGTATCATTGTGTATCTCATCTTAGAAATATCTGTTATATAATAAATGGACATGAAGAACTATATTTGTTAACCACAGAAATTAGATAATTGACCTTTGTCCCTATTGAAATTCATTTTGTTAGCTTGGGCCCAGTTATCCAATTATTTTGAATTTTGATTCTGTCTTCTGTGGCATTAGCTACCCTTTCCAGTTTGGTGCCATCTGCAAATTTGATGAGCATCCCCTCAGTTCTTTTATTCAAGTAGTTTATAAATACTTAGTTATAATGTCTTCCCCTCCTGCCCTTTACAAGGGGGAATTTTGTATTCAAGCAGCATGTTTGGCACAGTAAACTTTTAATTTTTGGATCTGTGTGTTCAGAGCTCACCTGACCTGATTGAATTTGGCAAGGGAGCTTGATGGGATCTGCTTTACCTTTGCTGTGTTATTTATTCAGCCATCTTTCCCTTGAGGAAAAGAGCTGGCCACCTGCCCCTTGTTGACAGATGCGCTCACTTTGGTTGACTCACCAAGCTTGTCATGTGTCTTGTTGATGTTTGCTGCTTTCCACATTATGAGGTAGCACATGATTCACTGAAGCAAATGGAAAGTTGCTGCTACTCGAGGTGAGACAACTTCAGTGGTAGAGATTCATAGTGGTGAAATGTGAGCTCGTTGGTGCTCAGATCTGTCCTCTTTGCTTGCACAGCCCATTTGCATTGATGATCCAGTGGAGGATGAACATAGAAACAGGAGGTTGCCTTATACGAAGTCAGAACCTTGGTCTAGATGGGAGCTTTTCCCAGCCCAATATGGAGATAGGAAATTTAACCTGAAACCTTCTGTGCACAAAACAGATGCTCTACAACTGAGCTATTGCTCCACCCCAGGAGTAAAAGGAAACTGGACAGGAGAAAGCTAAAAGGCAATACAATAAGGGGCCAAACTGAACAAGAACAATCAGAAATGCAGAAATGAACCTGAGCTAAGCCTACAAAGGAAGCTTGTTCAATGCAACTTGAATTGAAGCAGGCCACACCTGCAAGGAAAGAGTGGAAGAAAATAGGAACTTGCTCCCAATTCTTCACAGGCTAAATTGTTTGATGCCATATAATGTTGTTGCACAGTCCACCTGTTAAAATGGCCCACAGGGGGTGGCAAAGTTTTAGAGCTAGCCCACCTGCTCAGTCCAGTTTCCCACCCTTGATAAAGATGATGGAACCTGTTGCAATTGTACAGGTTCCCTACATGGTTTGGAACCTGAGAAGATAGGGATCTAAATTGTATGAGAAGCCTCCATCTGTAGAAAAAGCTGGGGGAGGGGTGGCTAGCAGGAAAGCTAAATAGAGGGATATTTCTGTATCTCCAATCGCCCTGGAACAAATTCTAATCAGAGTGGATCCTACTGACATCTAATCAAAAAGTTTTATACAGCCTCAGCATGGAGATGTTTCAAGAAATACGGGGACCAAAAAGGAAATCTGCAAGATTAGTGCTTCAGAAAGAAATAGAGGGAGCTCTGTATGAGGCTTCATGAAGGCCCCAAAAGGCAAGAAAGCAGCTGCTGTAATGGAAGAGGCCAGAGAGTCAGATGATTACATTAATAAAATAAGGTAGGCACTGGCCTTGGACTGGAGAGCAGCCCCAACTTCACTTGTGCAGAAATTTGATATGTGCCTGATATTTCTAAAACATAAAATGATGCACACAATCTTGCTCTAACTAACCAGTCTGAGATCCAGCTCTTACAAATGACAGAAGATTTTGCTATGAAGTTGGAGGAACAATCAGACAGGGACAGGAGGTAAAAAATTCATCTAAGAGGCCTACCAGAAAATCAGGAAGGGGAGTGACTGCAAGAAAAACACTGGGGCCTAATTTGAACATTAGAATGTCTGGCACCTGGTGGGCAGGACTTTGTGTTATTCTCTGGAATCAGCCCCTCCCTTCTGGTGTTCAGTTAAGATCAGTTAGAGAGACCAACTGTCATTCTTGCCTCATTAAGTCGTTTTAATTTCTCTCGGATGGTGTGTTACAATTTTCTTTATTATTAAAGATTTGTTTGACATGCTTACTTTGCTGAAAGAAAAGAAACTCGGCTGAGGAAAGGTATGGAATGTCCTAAACTGGGTGAGTGAGGGGATATTCCCAGTTTGCCAGGAGGATTGGTTTTGTTAATCACCCCACCCTCCACAACAATAGGGTTATGGGCCCAGTCTGAAAAGAGAGAAAAACCATGACCATGTATATAAAAGCTGTGAAAGCCCTAGAGCCTTCTGTGCCTGTTCTCACTTCAAGTAACCATCCTTTATAGAAATTTCAAATGGAGAAATTTCAAATGGAGAATGAGCTAGTGAAGAAGTTGTGGGAAACAATTAAAAAATCTGCAGCAGCAGAAGAGGCAGAAAAAGTATAGTGGGAAAAGCAGGACAGTAATTTCAACTCATGTGAGTGACAGTGACTTACACCACATAAGCGATTTTAAGACTGCCATGGAGTTGTGGCAAGGTCTGAAAGAATTGTATGAGAGGAACACTCTGAATGAGAGACTGTATTTATCAAGAAAGCTGTTTAGTTTTAAATTGGGGGGAAAATGGAGATTTAGAAAAGCATCAAAGTCAAGTGACAAAGTTGATGGATCATTTAAATACTATAGGCAAGAAACTTGAAGAAGAGGAAAAAGTGATTTTAATTCTGTCAAGTCTGCCTGAAAGTTACAATTCTTTGATACATGCACTAGACTAGAGTCTAAATATAAACTTGATATGAAAATGTTGTATCAAGACTTAAAGTGGAGGCTGCTAGGAGAGTAGAGAAGGCAGCAGAGGGTGAAACACAAATATTTGTTATACGAAAGACTGGTAAGTATAATTTTAAAAATAAAACTGTTTTTCAAGGTACAAACAAAAGAGACAAAACTAGATGCTTTTTGTGTGGGTAAATAGGACATTTTGCAAGGTATTGTACAAAACAAATTGGCACAAATAAAGAAAAGTTCCAAGGTGGTGGCTGAAAGCAAACTAAAAATGCCTTTGCAGTTCATCAGATCTAGCAAAAACTGATGCTATTAACAGTAATTCTTCTAGTTGGTTAGTTGATTCAGGAGCATCAGCACACTTGTCTGGTTATGCTGATTTTTTCAGAGACTTAAATGAAAGCTCATCAGACACAGGTTACAATTGCAAATGGCCACAAAATATCTGCAAGGAAAAGAAGCAGGTTTGCTCAAGTGTGTTGCAAGCAGAAAAACTATTCATAACGAAGTGAGAAATGTAGTTTACTTGCCAGAATTAACAGAAAGTTTGCTGAGTGTGTCAACTCTGACCAAGCATGCTTTTAATGTAAATTTTAATCATAACAGATGTGTAATTGCCAAAGATGGAGTTTTTTATGCACAAGGTATTGAAAATAATGGAGTCTTTGTGCTGGATACAGATCAAGAAAGAGTGAATATGGTCAAGAAGAATTCAAGTGCAAGCTGTATCCATCTGTGGCCCAAAAGGCTCTGACACAGAGACTTCAGGATTATAGCAGACCAGCTCCAAAAGAAGCAGGCATAGCGTATCACTCAGGCTTCCCTTTTAAGTTGATAGTCCAGCACAAAGGCAGAACATGGGTTGTGAGTGATAACCAACAGGCTGCCAACATGCCCCAAGCAGCAGATGACTCTCCCCAGTGCGTCTCCCCAGCTCAAAAGAGCTGGACAACCAAAAAAGGCATAAAGAAATAAGGCAACTCCAAAGAGAAAGTAAGAAATGGTTATATTTTATTTCCTTATGTTTGAAAAGGATCTGAACTCTAACAAGTGCAACAGTAAGTTGGAAAAACCTTTGTCCGAGGGTGGGAGGAGAGAACATGGAGATTAGCCACAACCCCTTCCTGCCACCCTAGTCAATCCTGGGTTCTACGGGAGGGATCTCCACCATTCTCATGTTCCTGCTGGCTCACCGTAGGATTTTTGTACAGTGGTACCTTGGTTTACTACCATAATTTGTTCTGGAGGTCTGGTTGTAAACCAAAACAGGTTGTAACCCAAGGCGCACTTTCGCCAATGGGGCCTTCCCACCAAAATTGGTTGTAATCCCCCCAAAATGGGTTGTAATCCAAAAAAAAGGGACACACACTTCCAGGTTTGACGTAGTTGTAATCCAAAACAGTTGTAATCCAAAGCGGTTGCAAACCAAGGAACCACTTCACATAGTTTTCAGTTTAGGTTGTTTGATTTTCAAGATAGAAGTCCAGCAGATAGTCCAGTGTTTAACAAAAGCCTCAATGAAGGCCCAAGTTTGCAAGCCGGGAAGGCTGTTCCAGGCTTTGTCACAGTTGCAAAACAGTTTGCTGATCTCCCAGCACAGACATTACAAGTATCCAGACCTGCCTACAAATCCTCCCATTCAGTGTTAAAGGCCTGGGCTCAGCAGTAAAAAGAGCTTGAACTGACATAGAGAGCATCCAGACATAATTATATTGCAGGAAACCCATCAAAGTAAATGCTCCAAATCACCATTACTAAAGGGTCAATGGCTCAGTGAGCCCTTGCCTCTTCCAAAAGTAGGAGCAAGGCTATCCCCTTCTCCAAGTATTGCCCATTTTGGATGAGAGACTTAATAGCAGACCCAAATGGCGGATTTATTTTTGTTAGAGGCTCACTTGGTACTATGAATCTTACTCTGGCCTACACATAAGCACCAAATTCTGACCAACAGGCTTTTCTTAAGAACACTTTGCAAAGAAGGCTCAATTATAATTGGAGGGGACTTTAACTGCTGCCCTAATGACTCCATAGATTGCAGCTCTTTCTGTTCTTCAAGAAGCAGTCAGGACAACTGATTGCAGAGCATGATTGGCCACTGGGGCCTAGCAGACACTTAAATCCTACAGCACGTGAATTCTCACGTTTCTCTCACCGATTCAAAACATGGTCCAGGATTGATCTATTAGTAGCTCAAGATATTATGCAAAATGTGATTAGAGCTAATATTGGTGTCTTAACTCTGTCGGAACATGGCCCTGTCTCATTTTTTTTAGTTTTGATATACGCCCTCCAAGGTCCCCAAAATGGTATTTTGATGCAAGCTTAATCACTGATAAGATATCTAAAGAACGTTTATTAAAAGCACTAGAATATTATTTTAAGGAAAATAATTTACCACTACTGTACTGTGGGACATGAGAAAAACAGTCTTAAAGAGGCACTGCATTAGTGAAGCCTCAAGAAGGAAAAAGGTATATGAATCTGAAATCAGTACTCTTACTGCTAGGATTAAAATATGGGAAAAGGAGTCACAGACCTCAAAATCCAAAAAATTAAGTCAGGCCCTGAAAAAAACTTGCTCTGAATTACAACCCATTGAGTCTTAATGCATACATAAAGCAATGGCAGGAGTCAGGAGTGTTTATTATGAATTTGGTAACAAAACTTGTCATCTATTAGCTCATGCAGTCAAAAAGTGTAAATTAAAAAATCAGATTACTGGCATGCATGATGCCCAACAACGATTATGTAATGATACTTTGATAATTGATGAAATCTTCTGAAAATATTATACTTCTCTGACAATCCTTCACAATCCTCTATAGAAGAAGAGGAGTTTGGACTTGAGATCCCATCTTTCACTCCCCTTAAGGAGTCTCAAAGCGGCTAACATTCTATCTCTTCCTCCCCCACAACAAACACTCTGTGAGGTGAGTGAGGCTGAGAGACTTCAGAGAAGTGTGACTAGCCCAAGGTCACCCAGCAGCTGCATGCGGATGAGCGGGGAATCGAATGTGGTTCACCAGATTACGAGTCCACTGCTCTTAACCACTACACACTCTCTCAAGTGTGCCTTAAACCATTGTCTGAGGAGCACAGGGATCAACTGAATCATCGAATATCCCAAGAGAATGTATAGGATGCAATAAAAAGATTAAAATTGGGCAAATCACCAGGGCCAGATGGCTTCTCAGAAAAATACTACAAGGCAATGTCTCCCAATTAGCTAATTACTGAGGACCTCCCTCCCCATTTCTCAAAAGCGAAGCCATGGACCCCTTACTTTTGAAATTTTTGATAACTCTGTGGTAGTTACCTCTGCATAGCAGTTTTTTGAACAGAATGTGAGGTAGCGCCTAATAAGCAAATGATTTTAGATATACCAAAAAAAAAAACAAAAACCAGACAATAACATTTGTGATATTACTATGCAAAAATGACAAAATTTTAATTGGGGGGAGCCAAGGTATGGAGCTACAGACCCCCTGGGTGGATTCTGCGGATTCCCTAGGGGTCCCTGGACCCCTAATGGGGAACCACCGCTATAAGGTATTCAGAATGGAACTCTCACCCTGGTTAACTAGTCTATTTAATTCAATTTTAGAAGAAGGGGAAATTCCCAAAACATGGTGAACTTTAAAACTGACCTTATTTCTGCAACCAGGGAAAGATGCCACAAAGGTGGACTCGTATCGACCTCTTGCTCTTATTAATGTTGAGGCAAAACCTTTCATGGCAGTAATGGTCAAAAGGATTAATATTTTTGTTGGACAATATATTTCAACTGACCAAACAGGTTTCATGAAAATATTTTGGATTCAGTGAGACAAATTCTTAATGTAAATCATGAGCTCCACACACAAAACTCCCCTGGTGCTTTAATTTCTCTGGGTGCCTTCAAGGCCTTTGACAGAATTCAGTGGCCATTTTAAAAATCTTTAATAGCTAAATTACAATTTGGTAAGCAATTCCTTCATACCATTAATCAAATTTACTCACAGTCTAATGCCATCATTACATTAAATGGGTATATCACCAAACCCATACACCTCAATAGGGGCACCCGTCAAGGCTGCCTGCTGTCGCCACTGCTTTTTGCAGTGTGATAGAGGTGCTTGCCATTCAATTGTGGGTAGATGCAACACTTGAAGGTGTGAAAATTAGAAATATTGAGCAGAAAATAAATAGGTTTGCTGATGACACTCTAGTTATTCTCCGAGACCCTCTTAATGCACTCCAACCACTCAAAAAACAATTGAATGCATTTCATGCAGTTGCAGGACTGGAGATAAATTATGCAAAATCTGCTGTTCTTCCAATTAACCTACCCACAATGATTCATGAGTAACTAATACCACAACCAGAATTTAGCATTGCTCATGGTGGGTTTAGATATATTGGCATCAATTTAACACCAGATCTTAAGCAGCTTATTCGCAGAAACTATAAAAAAAACCTGCTCAAAGATATTTCCCAAGAATTGGTGAGATGGAAACATTTAAATCTCAGTTGGCTTGGCAAGATAGCTGTGATTAAAATATCTATTCTTCCAAATGTTTCATATTCTTTTCAGGTTTTGCCCACCCGTATTCCCTCATCTCGGCTTAAAGAATCACAACGAAAGCTAACTTTCTTTGTTTCATCTGGGAAAAGATATAGATTATTTAGGCATAGATCTAAGGGAGGTCTCAGAATGCCAAATTTAGGACTCTTATTCTGCAGCATTTCAGATTAAATCTCTGATCCCCTTGATTAGGGGACAATATGACATTCCATGGGTGCAGATCAAGGCCCCTCTCTCTTCACTGTCTGTAAGGACATTTCCTTTCCTAAAACTATCCCAGACTGAGTTGGAAAAGTTTCAAAACCTGTTTTTAAAGGCAGTGCTTATGACGTGGAGCTATTGAGACTGAGTTCTGGTTCCCAAACCCTCACCATTGACTCCACTGTTGAACCTTCTATTATTCCGACAGGAGGATAAATATGGACAATTTTAAAAAATTGAGGAGAAAGGCATCAATTAGGTAAGAGAGCTTATGCCTAGAGACAAAGCAATTTCTAAGCATGAGCTCACGGAGAAACTGGATGATGCCTAGTTAACCTGGTTTCAATCTATTCAATTGTGCACATTTGCAAGATACTTGGAATGCAAGGGGGAGGGGCTTCATTCTCTTATGTCATTTGAGTCTCTCTGTAACAAATCAAGATATGAAATAAAATGAGCTGCATTTTTCATTTATAGCAGGCACATCCAACCTCAAATAAGCTGCGATCTACCAACAAGTATCAAAAACTGGCAGTGATCTACCACTCTCCGAAGTCATTAAGTAACTAAACAAGTGAGAAAAGTCAAACTATATTTTTATATTAGTTTGCACAGATCTGAGGAGTCAGCTTCTCTCTCTCTCTCTCTCTCTCACACACACACACACACACAACATCCTCACTCTCTCCCTCCACCTCAGTCTTTCTGCTTCTGGGGCTTTTGGTTTCAAGTCCAATCATGTTATCACCCCCACCCCTAAGTCAGTACCCTTTGGGAACACCCCCCCCACACATCCCAGCTCTGCCTTAGGGCCCCGCGTCCCCCTCATCCCACTGCTGGTGCTCTAACCTCCCCCCCCACACACACACAGAATGCAGGGCAGAGCAGGTGTCGGGGAAGAAAGGCAAGTCAACTTCCTCGGCTGGAGGAAGAGGAGGAGGAGGAGCTCAGGCTTGCATGAGAGTGGACTGGCAGCAGCAGCATGAGCTGCTGTGTCCCAGGCTGCAGAGAAAGGCTTTTCTTTCTCAGCCTGCGATCGACGAAAATCAGTCAGTGATCCCCAAGTCGATTGCTATCGACATGTTGGACATGCCTTATTTATAGCATTCTTTTAGAACAATATGCAGGTGATATAGGAGGCCTCCATACAGTATGGGGAAAAGACTAAGGGATCATAACTGCAGATAATAAATGGCAATCAATTTGACACAACCCATCCCTATGAACCATCTCTGCTCATTGGCAGGAGACTTCTCTTAAAAATATATTTCACTGGCACTAGACTGCATCATGTCTAGCCAACATAAACACTAGCATCTCTCCCCTATGCTGGAAAGGCTGGAAAGGGAGTTAGACTCATATTTTCATGCATGGTAGAGTTGCACAGTGATATACTTTTGGAAAAAGGTGTTTCATATTATTTCCAGCAATTTCTTTCACCCAATTCGGCTCTTGCCTTGTGATCACTTGACTCAAATTTAAACAGTAACCTTAAATGCAGAGATTTGGTATTTTTTATTATTAACAGCAGCCTGATTAACCATAGCCCGATACTGGAAACAACCTATAGAAATCCCCATAGAAATCTGGGTAAATAATATTTGGAGTGTGGCTCTATCAGAATGCCTTACTTGCCACAGAAGGGTAATTAAAGGCACTTCAAGAATAGACACTTTTGGCGAGACTAGGCTTCCATTCTTTTCCTTTATAAATGTGACAGAATATACTTTTATTCTACCCACAACACAAGAATCTCTGTGGAGAGAATACTTGAATTGATATTGCATAAATAAACATATTTCTTGTGTACTGTGTACTGCATGTGAAACTTAATGCACCTCTGCATTATATCTTGTTTTTATATTTGCATGAAAACCAAAATTATTTGGAAAAGGGGTTCCCTGCTGACGTCACGATTCATGGCGCTAGGTTCAGGCAGGAGAAAGCTAGGATTTATGAGGTAAAATTCCTGGCAATGCTCCCCAGTGGGTTCTGGGAAGTTCACTGCATCCCACTGTGCTGCTTAAGCCCATGTCTGTCAATTTGAAAGGCAGAGCAGGTGCGACCTGGGAATGTGTCCCTGCAATGGATGAACCTCCCTCACTGGCATGATTTGTGATCTGTTCCTCACTAATTTAGAATGTTGGTGTTAATCATGAGGCGCTCCTGAAACGACATATGATAACAGGCTGCAATCAATCAGTTGCTGAAAGGACTGGGTTTGGCTCTTTGAAGGTATTTGAATGATTTTCTGAAGCTTGAAAATCCTTACAACAGCCAGGAAATAAGGGGGAGGACAAGGTGCTTTGTGCTTTCATATGGTTTCCAAAGGTTCTTTTCCCACCCTTGTCCTCTCCTGCAAAATGAAAGAGACATGTGTAGCCATGGCTTTGTTATTCTGTCTGCTACCGAGAAAAAGAGTGGGGAGGCTTTTGATTTATGCTCAACAAGGAATTTAACAAGGTTTTATTATGCCCCCCCCCCCCCCCCGACCGAGATTGAATGGACTTTATTTAAAATTATCTTTGGACTGGACCAGAAGTGTGAGGGAGCAATGCAGAGTAAGATGAACGGCTGCTAATTAAATCTGGCAAGAGGCTGTATTTGAGAAAACGACATTGTCTTTACCTTTGTGCTGAGGAAGAACTCCAGAGTGGAATTTTAATGGCGGAGATTGGACATGTTATCTGGGAGTTATTTATAGCTGCATCCTGTACACAAGCTGGTGAACAGCAGAAGGAATGGAATGTGAATTGATCTTGCAAGCACTGCAGGGAACTAAACAAAAGAAGATAGCAATTAACTCCCTCAATACACCAGATCTGAGGACAACATTTATGAAGGACTACAAACATGAAATTATTATTATTATGAATAATCAAATTTATACCCAGGGGTCTCAGGGTAGTTCACAGAATAAATGGATTTTATATTTATAAGAATTGACAGAGGTATGTAAGGACAGAATAATAGTCAGCTGCGAGGATCGACTAACATCAATTGAAGGATCAAGTGGATATTAAAGAAGAGATGAAGCAGCTACAGGAGGAAGTGATGGACATATGTTTGCAACAGGAGCAGGAAACCTGATTATTATTTTTTAAAAGAAATTGTATTAAAGTAATTTGGTCTGATCTGTAATAATTCGGAAAACGAATAAAAAATAAATAAAAATTATTTGGAAAAAGAAGGGCTTCCCACTTCAGGGGTAGAAGTAGAATGCTTGTGATTGACTTCCTTCATCATGTGAGGGATTTGAACAACCAAATAGGGTTCTAGTTAGTCTGGTCTTCAAGGTGAGTGTAATGCATCACAGAGTGAACTCGCCATATATTAAATCAGAAATAGGTAACTAGGATCCAGGAACTGAATGTCGACCTACAGGCCTCTATATATGGCCCTTGGAACTCTAATCAGGCTACCCACCTCACTGGCTCTGCTCCATACCCTCTGCTAGTAAGTTCACCTAGCCGGAATGTGCCCTTGAACTGTAATAATGCCTCTTGTTTGCATGGATGGAGATGTGTGTGTGGCCACGCCTGAAACTGGTGTGCAGTCCCGCAAGCAAATGTGGTTGCTTGACTGAATAGGGTTCCCCTGCATAAGAAATATCTGGAATAAGAATAATCCAGTGGTTCATGACTAAAATATTAATTTTTCATCCTATTCAAACTGCAGTAATTTTGTGTGGGTGTGTTTGTGTGTCAAGTATAGCCATCATGGGCCAGACTAGTCTGTGAATCCAAGTGTTCTTTTCAGATGCAGTTACTTATCAGATGCGGTCGCTTTATCTCTCATGTATGGAGAGAAGGTGCCATGTTTTCAATCTTCAATCTTCAACATTTCCTTGTTTTTTCCCCTGCATTCCATTGAGAACAAAATATTTGCACTACGCGCCTGATGATTCCTGAGCCGTGTATGACAATGGGATAATTCTTCTCTCGCTATTCAAGCATAAGCTCTTTCAGCAATGCTGAAATCTGTATTCCATTAAGGATGTCAGAATAAAAACCTACACGACTGCACAGCTTCTCCACCTGTTCCTTTCTTGTCCATCAGCTGCTGAGCAAGCGTGACCTTGTTTTCATTAGGACAGAACACCTTGAGAATGAACAGGAGCTGTTGGGTGGAGATGCATAGAGGAGAGGACAAGGAATTCATTAGCTAGCCCAGGCTCCAGGCTTTCCCCTCCAGAGATCTTCCTAGCCATAATTAGGGATGCTTGAGGAATTTGATCTTTTCAAATTCCAAATGTAAACTGAAACCAATCCACAGCTCTTAGACTAGTGTGTGTATTGCAATGATTTCATATTTCCCTCTCAGTGTTGTAGTGCAGTACTTGGCTAAAAAAACTGCACATTTTATAATGCATCTTTTGAAAGAAAACACATGAAAGATCCATATTTAAAGGTGGATTTTGGGATGGATCTTTAAAAAAAAAAATGAGGATGACTGTGGTGGCAGAATTGAACAGGATGTATTTATGAGGGTCTGTATGCAAATGTAACATGGCCTGGGAATAAACATACTTGTCAATCTAAGATCCTAATTTCACAATGCAAATCAGTGGGATAAGCAGGGGAGGGGAACCTGTTTTAGCCAGAGGGCTTCATTTTCTTCTGGGCAGCTATCCAAAATGTGCATGCCAGTGGTGAGTGGGTGCCAAAGGCAAAAATGAGTGGATGCAAGTGTATAGCAGACTAGTTTCTATGTACAGTGGTACCTCGTGTTAAGAACTTAATTCGTTCTGGAGGTCCATTCTTAACCTGAAACTGTTCTTAACCTGAAGCACCACTTTAACTAATGGGGCCTCCTGCTGCCACTGCACCCCCACCGCCACCGCCAGATTTCTGTTCTCATCCTGAGGCAAAGTTCTTAACTCAAGGTAATATTTCTGGGTTAGTGGAGTCTGTAACCTGAAGTGTATGTAACCTGAAGCGTATGTAACCCGAGGTACCACTGTATACTCATACAGCCCTTTCTATCCTCATCCAGCTGAGCTAGAGGCATTATGTGAGTTAAAGAACACGTTCCAGACAGGCAAAAACACTCAAGGAGGGTGTAAAGCAGGGTAGGTGAGGCATGTTTAATCGTCAGATAGAGAAACCTAGAGGGCTGCATTTGGGACCCAGGCCTGAGGTTCTTTATTCCTGGGATATGCCAAAATGCCTCTGTTCCCCCCTCACCCAAAAGCGTTCTGAGGGCCAGGAATTCTGCGAAATGTAGCATTTTCAATTTTTACTGCTGGCATCAGGAACTTTGGGAACTGTTACATCCTAGAACTCCATGTGCTTAGGCTGGTGCTGTGCATGTTGACAACAGTGTCTCAGATGTAAGGAGTCATGGTACATACAATTCCCAGAGCACCCCCAAAGTACACTTCCCAGGGCTCTGGTGCCTAGGACACTGCTGTTGCATCGTTCAAGGCACCAGGGAGCATTATGCACAGAGCAAGTTTGTATTCCAAGTCAGACCAGTGCTAACCTTAGCAAATCACTCATTTTCTGTGTTCAGCAGTGCATGATGCTGGACGTGGCTGTTTTCCTGAATGCATATCGCAGGAGAAAACGTGCAGTGTGAAATATGTGTGCAAAGTCTCTTAGAGTCTGTCTGCAATCTAGTTCAGCCCCCATGTAGTGAAATCTGCATTAGAATCTGCTCCCAGGAGCATCCACCAACTTGTGAGACAGCCAAGCCAATTTCACCAATTTCTAAGGAAATTTCAGACACGTTGAGTTAAAAGCAGCCCACCGAGCAGATTTCAGGGAAGGATCAGGGGGCATTTGCATTTAAAAAATAGAGATGTTATCATGGAGAATTAATGTCCTTTGATATAAATCTTGGCAGTGAGAGTGGGGGAGATAGGTGCAGCTCCTCATTATCTTACAGAGGTTGTGGGGTCAAACTGGGACAAGGAGAAGTGATTTATGTGTTCTCTTTTGTCGGAGAGATGAGAATATGTAAAGGAAATAATGACTTGCAAAGACCATTAGAGAAACTCTCTCAGGATCTCACAAAGGCCGAATCTGCACTGGGTCTCCCTTTCCTTTTCAGATCAACATCCCCAACTCTCATTTTTTCCCCTTCAACCCAGAGTCTTCTCTCTTTCTTTCTTTTTCCCTCCCTCCTTTTTTTCATGCATCTTGCACAACTTTGGCCCTTCCCTGCAGTCTCCTGTGGGGCATGGCTGGCAATTACCGTATTTTTCGCCCTATAGGACGCACTGTCCCATAAGGCACACCTAGGTTTTTTGGGGGAAAATAAAGGGGGGGGGAAATTATTTCCCCCCCAGGCGCGGGGCTGGGGTGGGGGAAGCCCGAGTTTCCCCCGACCCCAGCCCCCAGAACAGGCAACTCTCCGCAAGCCACGGGAGCCCAGCGCAGGACTCCCGCGGCTTGTGGAGAGGTGCGCGAAGTCTGGGACCGCTGAGCTCAGCGCTCCCAGCCTTCGTCATGCAGGCAACTCTCCGCAAGCAGCGGGAGCCCAGCGCAGGGCTCCCGCGCCTTGCGGAGAGGTGCGCAAAGTCTGGGAGTGCTGGGCTCAGCGCGCCCAGCCTTCGTCATGCAGGCAACTCTCCGCAAGCAGCAGGAGCCCAGCGCAGAGCTCCCACACCTTGCGGAGAGGTGCGCGAGACTGTGTGTTAAAAGCAACTGTGTTAGAAGAGATAGCTGGCTCTGCTAACTTAGCTTCAGTAAAATCCTGACAATCAGCTGGCACAACAGTCGTTGGTCTCCCATTTAGACTCAGGCTGGAAGGCCACCTGTCCTGGCATTGCCTGTCTTTAGCAGGATGCACTGAAGGAGACAAAGTGGCTGCTAGGAGGGTAGATTTGTGAGTCTCAGTGTCAACATTCTGGCAAGGCTTACTTATTTGAGCAATCTCTGTTTCTGGGTTCTGATACATCGCTTTAAGAGCAGTCTTGCAATCAGCATTTTCATTTTCATAAGCCAATTGTTTCATTGAAACTTCAGAGGCTTCAAGGTTTGGAATTAAGGTACTGGCTCCTCTTAGCCCATCAAGAATGCCATGCAAGCCATTTTCTGTCACACTTCACTTCAATTGTTTAAAAACTGCGAAGGGCAATGATTCATGGGCTCTCTGTTCCTGTGCATTCTGAACAACAGGACAGACTACTAATAATGGTAAGGTGTCAGCTGTTTTTTCTTCACTGCTTCCTTCTGCCATATTTGGAAGAGTTAATTTTTGCACTGTGGTCTGAGCCCCTTGTGGGCATTGATCCACGGAAAGTGGCATGGAATTTACATTCGACCCAGGCAAATCTTTGGCAATGGAAGGTGCCAATGGAATTACCTTTGGCATGACCTCAGAGTCCTCAGAGAGAGGCTGGAAATCTAGAGGCTGAGATTGAGGGAACAATATTACGGTATTTTTAAAGTCAGCTAGGGGTTGCAACAATATGGGAACATTCATAGAGACAGCTGGTGGTTGGAGCAAAGAGTTAGAGAGCTTTCCAACCGCATCTCTACACAAACGCCAGGTGTGCAAGACTTGTAGAGATGCCTCAGGATGTCTATGGAGTGCATCTCCCAGCTCATTCCATTTCTTAATGTCATAAGTACCCCCCTCTGGAAACCAGGGGCACAGTCTAGCAATCTCTAACAACAATTTTTCTACTAGGGGTGCTAAATGCTTATCATGCCCTGCCTGAGCTAGCAAAAATAATAAATTATTCCTATGCTTTTCCGGCACTTGTGAAAGCATGCTTCCCATGATCTCACCTGAAGGGTAATAGACGCGTGTCTTTGGGGCTCGTTCCGAGCGAATGAGATCCTAAGTCCGGGAATCGTTTTGCAGGAGATGATCCACCACGACCGAGGGATAGCAGGTTGCTAGCTCCGAGGGGAGTCCAATCCTGGAGGTTTCCTTTTGCTGAGGTTTCCTTTTGCTGTGCCTCAAACGCTGAGGTTTTCTTTTACTAGCCTCAAACGTTTCTTTTTTAAGTTTGCCTCACACGGTTCCTTTAGGTGGCCTCACATGGGGCACCACTATGTTGCGTTCACAAAGTAAAGGAAGGATTGAACTCTGATTAATAAGAATACACACAGAGGCTTGAACCAGCAAGACTCTGGGAAGGGTGCGTATAATCGTGTCTCTCTGTGCTTGTCCAATCCTCCAGCCCCCTCGCCCAGGTAGTTTT